AAAAAAAAAAAAAAAAAAAAACGTGTTTCATCGCGGGGGGGAATGATGATACACTAATGTCGATGCACTAGTACACTGTCTACATCTCCACACGGTATTAGCGGGATCAATGAGGGAGCCTAGCTCGTTCGTCGCGTCGCGACCTAGTATTACCCGCGATACTCAAAGGCTCTAGTCCTCCGACGGTGTATGCTCACTGCTTGTCGAAGCTCTTGAGGAGCTCTGGGGCTGTGTGTGCCGCTCTTTTGTTTTCTCTAGAGAAATCGTAGAAACAATGGGCGTCATGTGCATCCCGAAGCTACGGATAATGGATCAGATTGACGCGGGTTGCACTGGTGCGTGTTGCCTCACCAGATCAAACGCGAAGGGTTGAAATTGCTCAGGTCCAAGTGCTGTAGTGAACCCGTCTAGTACAGGCCGATCAATACGCGAAACCCAAGCAAGTGCCCCATTCAAGTTCTCGTCTGAGAAGTCTCAGTCTTGTGTCTCGCGCAGGATACCCATACGGTGCGCAACAACGAGGTGTAGTATGCCTCAACCCCCTACTCCATGCTCAAACCCGTACTTTCAGGTTTGAACCAAACACTCATCTCGTGCTACATTCACGACCGCTCGTCTCACCCTTGATGACACGGTCCTCCCTCATAGGGTTCATCTTACACCCGTGGAAGGCGGCTTACAAGGGCTTACAGCTTCGCGCAGTCAAGGAAACCTCGTGCTATGAGGGCGCTGGTTGCGCAGCCATATGCACATCTGTGTACTATTTCGGAACATGTCCGGAAGCTGTCTGAGTCGGCATTAACGCTTCGTTGCTTTGGCGATATCGCTTATGCACAAGACCACATACCTGAGATCGGACTTTCGAAACCGGAACGATAGACGGCACTTAATCATCCTCTACTACGTAAAGTGGTAAAATATGGGAGCGTTCTCGAGGTTGGGTCTTGTTCAATCGTCACCGGCGCTGAAATCTCCAAAGCCTCAAGGGCATAGTCTATTACGCCTGTTACTGGACATGTCCAAGCCAGTGTGACCAATACCGCCCCCATTGGATGAGATCTTGTCGGCACACTTTCCGAACGGGTGCTAAGGACGAGGAAGGTTACAGTCTCTCAGTGCGTATCAATTCCGCACCATCATCCCTATGCTGAGCTCATCTCTGTCAAGGCAGTTCTCGAGATTAGTTGACGGTCACATTGTGCATTGCACGACAGGCAACAACCAACGCGGTCCAATCTCGTTGCGGCAGCGAGTTCTTACTTTGTACTGGGAATGTCGTGATCCGTGAGCCGTAACGTATAAAGCTAAGAACCTCGGCGCTGTCCCCGCGTGTGAAGATTACAAGTACACATACCTTAGCAGTCTTAGGTCGTGACTAGCAGTTACTAACGGTGCGTCTGTGGCCGTGAAAGGCACATAAAGACGCGTCATCACTGACCCTGCTTGGAACTGTATTATAATATATAATTTAGTTTTCTGGGTGCATTGGTTCCAGGTATTGACCGGTACGGGAAGAGGGTAAATTGGTACTACCTGAGCCTGTGGAAGTATTATGAGAAAGTGTGGAACCATCGAACCGAGCCACATTTACTCTCACGCCACCCATCCATTGTTTTGAGTGCCTGGAACCCTTGACATGAGGCTCCGCCGCGCTTGGCGCTTGGCCCCCGGCGCTTCCGCGGTGCCACACGGTTTCTCACGATGTTCCTTCAAGATTCTCACTTCTTTAGCAGGCCCAGCGTAGCCAGTCTCTGACATCATGGCATCGTAACTGATCTTAGATGAGTAGGAACACTTTAATTACATGAATCTATAGTATCATATTGTTCCAGAACTAATTACAAGTTTATACCCGGGAGCCCAGCAGCCTCTGCTTTGAAATACCTCTCCACTTCGTATTCTACACCATCGAATACTTGGTAGCGGCGCTCATCGCGGACGGGCCTAACAGGTTTGATGTCAAGTTCTATCACTTTGCGCTTGGGAAGCACGCCCAGTAGCTCGACACTGAGGGCACGCGGGGAGGGCGGGGGGGTCGGCTCCGAGCTGGCATGCGCGTCGTTGTGATCCTGTTGAAGAGCGAGCGAGGCCGCCTCGCGCCGGGCATTGCGGACCTCGTTCCAAACGGCACGCTCCATACGCTGAGTCGATGCCCTGTCGGCGGTGGGGGTGGAACGTGCTACATCGCGAGCGATGCCAGTCGCGCGGCGAGAAGCCGGTGAAGAGCGAGCGGAGCGTGTGGTGGAAGGACGCGGGGTGCGAGTAGCCGGCTGAATAGTTGTAGGTGGCGAACGTGTAAGACGGCGCGTCTTGGTGACGCGAGCGCTTGCCTTGACTTTGAGAGCGCGGATACGAGCGACAATGTCTGTGTGTACACAGGTGGTTAGGGAGTGCCCATGTACTGACGAAGTACCACGCACCTTGCCTGTGGTATCTATCCACATACTGCCAGAACCGAACCTTGCGTTTGTTTGGCTAACGGTAAGTTTAGATTAGTGAGGAACGGGGTATGAATCGTAAGAAGACGCACCGGCAGAAGGCGCTCCAGCGCCTGTGCCAGTAACGGAGCCCACTTCACATTGCCCTTGTAGCCGACTTCATTGCGGAAGTCGGCGACAAGGTCCTTATCCTCCTCCGACACAATGGCGCGGGCGCGGGGTGAAGCCGACTGCGTCGACGTTGTGCGCACCCTGGCATAGGATGGCTTGATGGTAGGGCGCGCCATGGAGCGAGAGGCAGGCATGGCGAGGAGATGCAGATACTGGAAGGATACTGGAAGACGGGGACAGACTCCCAGAGAGTTAGCGTGGCGCCTAACTTATGCTGGAAGCCCCGAACCACCATCAGGTAACCGCTGATGGCGATCACGGCATCCGTAACGCCGATCAAGAGGGCGCTCATTTCCTGGCAGTTTCAGAAGCGCGTGGGTGTGGCTTCCAGATGCCATAGCTCCTGACGTGACGCCAATCTAATACCGTACCCATGCTACCGGCCGTCTGCTGTGCGGAGGTGCCTTCAGCTGGAAGCGTTTGTGTTCGGCTTCCGACTTCCAGACGCCAAGTGGAAGCGCTGCGCAACCACCGCGGTCATGCGCCGCGCAGTCGTTCATTTCCGGGCCTCCGCCGATGCGCACCACGTGTGAGCGTGCTCTGGAACCTCATTATTCAGCTGCGCTGCCGGCTCACTTCCGACACGCGTTTATCACCTGGCACTCGCGTCTGCATCCGCTCTCCCTTCCTGCTTCCCCCATCATCCAGACTCCATCTACCTCACCAGATGGCGACGCACTGTACTCTCCGCTCCTTCCACCGCGACTCGTCCTTAAGCGAGTTCTTGTGCGCACTCTGTAGAAATCATTAAAGCCCAGCCTATTCTCATCCCCAGTATAGCCCGTCAAACAGCAAAGGCGTCCTTACGCGCCGCATGGATGCGAACGGCAATGCCGCCCCCGAGCGCCGCATTCGGCCTGGAGCATGGTCCGTCCCACTGTAGTATCTCACCATCTCCCGCCAACGTTGACAGCAAATACAGTGTCGCCCTTCGTACTTTCGATCAACACGCCATATTTGTGGAGAAGGGCCGCGAGGTAGTAGATGGTAGGGTGACCGATCGCATGCTGGTACGTACCTCGTCTCCTTTCCTCGGGATGCGCTTGCTCATGATAGTTCCAGGCGTTGGTTGTCCAGCTTTGGACGGCCCAACAGCTTCGGGCGTATGTCGGCTTGAACAAGGTCATCAACGTGGATTAGTGAGCTTACCGTTTATTGAATTAAGCGGTGAGATTGACTCAATTACTGTACAGTGTCAACGCGCGGCTTAAGGATGTCTCTAACAAGAAGACATGGATTGCTGTCAACCACACCGAGTACGTGGATTCAGATATGGTCAAAGGTAAGCGCTGTTTATGGAACAGCGCCATCTACGAAGTTCCTCATGCATTTCATTTAGCTGGTATTACCGATGATGAGTTCAACGCTAGGATGGAACTTGACGAGGAGTTCATCCTCTTCACCGGCGACGGCCCCGAGCCGGATCTAGCAGACAGAGAGCGACCGCACACGTATATTTTTGTAGAACGCAGGTCCCGTTAGTCGTGTACAGTTGTGTTGTATTCTGTAGATGCTCTTGGAACTATACCATGATATGATACACCGTCTGCCAACTGCGATACTTGAACGTGTCAAGCCAAGACGCCTCGGCATCCGCCGTGATCCGCTCAGTCCGCGGCTGCGTGTGGCACCGTTCCGACTTCCGAGGTCACGCCTCGGCTTCTTCCGGAGGCTTCCTCGGGGAATTGTGATCCGCGCGGATGAACCGGCCGAATAGACACGCAGCGCCAGCAACCTCTCCACCCGCCATCACAGTCCCCGCGTTTAGCCATCCACCCGCCCATCGTCCACCGCGTCCTCCCCAGTATGCTTTCCCCGCGCACTCAAGCCGCAGGACTCTACAGCGACACGCCAGAGGGAGATGGCTCCCGGTCGCACCGGGCCTCGCCGGCCGTTCCGGAAGAGAAAGCGCCAACGCAGGGCGGCGACAGCGTACGTCCCACCACTCAATTCCCCTGTATCGTCGTCTTATTGAGGCGGGATTATGACGCAGGACTCCGAAGAAGCGCCGTACCTTTCCGATACTGAAGCCCCGTGCGCACGCGAGTCCCAGCAAGCCCTGCTTTCGAAGATTGAAGGGTTGGAAGAGGATGTGGAAAACTTGGAGAAGGGCGTCGAGCATTTCAGGCGGGAGAATCAGCATACTGAGGCGCAGTTGGCTCGTATGACCAACATAAAGAAGGATTGGGAAGAGAGGGGCACGCTGGCAGAGGCGCGATTGACCATCGCGACGCACGAGAACAAGGGCCTCCTGGAAGACCTCGGCCGCGCTCGGGAAAGTCTCTGTGTTGCTCGCGAGGAGCGCAACCAGTCCCGCGCTCGGGCGGAGAAGGCGGAGCGCAAGATTCAGCGCTTGGAAGAGGCGCTCGCTAGCCAACGCGATGTCAAGAGGAAGCGCGCCCGTGTCGCCTCCGACTGATAGGCGCGTCAATCCACGTTCCTGCCGTATGCCTTGACTCAATGCTCCCTGTATCCAGGATTCCACTTCACTTTTTCTCTATAGACTTACGATACTTCAACCTCTGTCACACGCGTAGTAGAGCCGAATCCCACTGTTCTTGCGAGTTTTTCTATGTTCATGGCATTGGCTGTGGCGAGTCCCGGACTTGGATTCCATGGACAGAAGGTGGGAAGTTGACACGGCCTTCTACAGCATTAAGTTCCAGCTGAGCGACATCTACTCTTCGGCGCAAGGCGAGCGCCAAGAACCAAGTCGGCTGTCAGGTGGGGACAAGCAGTCCAGACGTTCTTTCCGGCACGTAACAATACGCCCACACCGAGCACTCGTTAGAACACGTAGTACGACGACTAATTATCATTGTGAGAAGACCGAGTTATCAAGACACAGGCAGAAACAAGGACACTACAGAGCCAGCCACTCCTTGAGCTCGGAACGTGAGAGAAGAACGAACTCGCGTTGGCGCTGTAGATCTGCCTCGTCGGTACCTGGCACATCGTTGATCATAATATAGTACTCTTGTTCGAAGGAACCGAGCCGACCTCCATGCAGCTCCTGCAGAGTGACGCCAGCTGGGTAGAGAAACATGAGCGCACGCTCGACGCATCTGGAAAAACTAGACTGACTCTCGACTTGGTCGGCCAGCAGGTACTCGGCGTGGTTAATGGCTAGAAACCACCAATCGTCGTCAACATCCGCCAGTTGAGCTGAAAGGCTATCGAGTCTCTCAGTATGTGATAAGCCAGCGGGAAGCGTATTAAGTCTCACACGTCGGCGTTCCTCACCTGGCCGGCTTGAATTGCGTCCATGAGCTGGCGTCTGGACCACCAGTACACACCATATGCCTCCACCTCTTCCGTGAGATGCGAATGTACGAACGGCCCTTCAAAGACAGCGTACCTTACGCACTATTTTGCCATCGGCTTCCACCTCGTGGAGAGTGTGATCCAGGATCACATACCACTGGTCGCCGTCATCATTCCTAACCTTAAGCCTACGCGGGTTCCAGGGGTCAGGTATGCACTAGAAACAAGTCGACGACCCTCACAAATCTCCAGGTCCCATCCGACGATCTCTCGTCCGGTTGCCAAACGCGTCGTGCGTTCGACTTAGTCTTGTGGGGTCGTCTGTCACACTAGTGAAGGTAAGCCCAGGGTTGTGGAAGTTCAATATCTGTGCGTACAAATAGCCCTCATAGACCAAAGCAACGTCGCTCAAGAAATTGGCGATGCGATTCCCGTTGATGAGGGCGGTCATGAACGTGCAGGCAACTGCGAGTTGATGGGGAAAGGCAAGGCTGGCAGAGCGCTCCCAAGCCCTTCCCCGCGTGGGGCGCGGCATTGGGCGCAGATTGCCGGATGGCAACGGACGCAAAAGGGCCGACACGATCAGTCGGCGCTTGCTTCCGGAATTGCTAACGACCCGTGCCGAAAAGGGGTGCCGTGCCGAGATGATCATGCGCGGCCTGTGGTGATATTCTGGAAGCTCGTAGCCCCAGAATCCTACACAAACGGACGTATTCCAGACGGCGAGGGAGGTCCGGCGAAATGCTCGAGCGTGAGGCGGCAACCTTGCAGGCTGGCAGGAAAGCGGAGATAGCGAGGGGCACGCAGGGTACCGTTGTCGGTGGAGAAAGCGCCTTGAGGGAACCGCGGGCCATATGGGATGCTTTCTCTTGATCCCAACCGATGCAGGGAAGTAGGCGATGTATTGACCCGGGCGTGCAGATACTTGCTGTCCGACAGCTGGTGCCGGCTAGTCAGGGTAGTCGAATAGATGCCGGGCGTTCATGTCAGCAACGGCTAGGCGGCCGCTTACTAACGAAGATAAGGGCGAGCGAGTTAACCAGGATAAGCGGCTAGGTAGCCGGTGTATAGACTAGATCAAGGTTAAGAGTAAGTTACAAGCGGGGGTGGAGTCTTATATAGGTATGACGAGGCAAACAACCGTAAACAAGGCGCGAGAACTGGATGAGTCGAGCGTGAG